AAAAAAATTAAAATCACTCTCCTAGGTCCTCTTTAAATAACTTCTCAACTCAAGTTGATAACACTCCTAGTTCTTAATGGTCAATTGACTTTAAAAGCTGCCCTACTGGAATATGGCAGAACTGCTGAGTGCAGCACAAAACCACATAACTGAAACTTAAGAGCTCCACTCATATACAGGTCAACGTTTACTATTATCTCATTCAATTTAATCTTGAACTATTTTAAACTATCAATGTTTACTATCATCTCATTCAATTTAGTTTTTAAAATCTGCTCTGACTTTAATGTAGAAAACAGATTTACAGGTCAAAACTTTCAATGAAATTATAGGAACCTTCTATTAAAAATATTTTTTTTATACTTTCAACAAGATCTTGATTGAGCCACATGCTGCTTATAAGTAAAAACTTAAAAAACTATGAAAAAAATAGACACAAAGGATGCTGCTATGAAAACAAAGGAAATTCTCTTTTAGTTCTGCTTACAAAGATACCATGCAAATATTAATAAAGTATTCCAAGTATTACTATAGTTTCTCAATGTCATCTGCTATTTGAGTAACTGAAAGCATCAATACGAAGACATGACATATTTTATCTTAAAAACAAGAAAAACCACTTATACACCTCCTAGCTCTAGTCATTGAATTAGAAATCATGACCCTTACTAATCCCCAGATTACAGTTACTGGATACCATTTCACACTGACTGAGCCACATTTCATAAGAAAAAAATCCTAAGTTTGAAAAAAAATATGCAAAATTAATAGTTACACTTTGTTATAATAATGGCAGGGAAGCTATCCATGGCTATTATCACCAAAGAATTCAGGAACCAAAAAGGAGGAGGTTCACTGACCAAAAATGGAACAATCTGAAAATCAGTAAGAATAGTAACTTCAACGCGTCAAAGGAGAGCAAACATGTTTAAATCCTTAAGTACATAGTGAAACTAGAAGCAAGAACAAATTGGTCATCATTGAGATTATTAGAGAACAACCCCTTTAGAGTAAATATCGAAGTAAAATGAGAGAATCATTGATGCTTTTCTTAAGAACTGTACTACTATTAACCAAATAGTAGATGAGAAGAAGTTTCTCTTTACACTCAAGTGTCTGAGTTAATAAGTAGAGGAGGAATTACAGAATTACACCTTCGTTTTGCAACCTCTATCCATTAATAAATCTAGGCCTTGAACAACACTGCCTGCTCACCTCACAGACACTAATACTCCACCTAACAGAAAAGCATCAGCATCATTTATGAAGAAGTCTTGCTAAAAATGAAAAATGAATCTGAATTCGATAAAGCCTCAGCATACTATCCATTTTATAGGAAATCTAAGGGCAAAAAAAAAAAAAAAAAAAAAAAAAAGTTAAACACAAGAGGAACGGAGCCAGAAAAATCTAGTCTTTGGGAGACTCTACCTTTAATAAATAAATGGCCATAAAGAAGGAATGCAGGAGCGCCTGGGTGGCTCGGTCAGTTAAGCGTCCGACTTCGGCTCAGGTCACGATCTCACAGTCCGTGAGTTCAAGCCCCGCGTCCAGCTCTGTGCTGACCGCTCAGAGCCTGGAGCCTGTTTCCGATTCTGTGTCTCCCTCTCTCTCTGCCCCTCCCTTGTTCATGCTCTGTCTCTGTCTCAAAAATAAATAAACGTTAAAAAAAATTAAAAAAAAAAGAAGGAATGCAGTAAGGAGGGAAGGCAAAAGGTGAGGAGAGGCCTACAGTTTGTGAGACTTAAAAGACATTGGTCAACCACAATCAATCTTTATTTGGATCTTTTTTTTTTAAATTTTTTTTTTTTTAACATTTATTTTTGAGACAGAGAGAGACAGAGCATGAACGGGGGAGGGTCAGAGAGAGAGGGAGACACAGAATCTGAAACAAGCTCCAGGCTCTGAGTGGTCAGCACAGAGCCTGACGCGGGACTCGAACTCACGGACAGTGACATCGTGACCTGAGCCGAAGTCAGACGCTTAACTGACTGAGCCACCCAGGCGCCCTTCTTTGGATCTTAAAACAAGTGAAACTATACTTGTCTACAGTTTACTATGACTTGTATACAATAAAAAAAAAAATAGGATACATTTATTAATTTGCTGGTAAATGACAGAATACTTCTAGGAGAACCAACGAGATAAACGGCTGATACTAGTCCCAGGGGTAAAGGGATTAGAAGGCCAAAAGACAGGGGTGGAGAAGAGATTTTTTTGTTTTTTAAATGTTTTAAGCTATGTGATTATCTGTTTTATATATTTAAAAAGTGTTACAATTACAAAGGTTGCCTCAACTAAAATCACCAATTAAGTTCTTAGAGAAGCTGTTCTGAACTAGAAAAATGACAAAAATAACGTTTGAGTAGCAAAACTAATGTTATTACCTCATCATACGTGTATCTATAGTCAGCTTTCTTTGATTTGAGGTCCCATAACACCACTGTTCCAGATTCGAAGCCAATCAAAAGCTGTAATAAAAGAAAATGCCACATGACCTAGGAATGGTATTAATTATGTGAAACATTTATTTGGTGACAATAAAGATAAATATTATCATTCACGTTTTAAGTATAAAATTATAATTAAACATCTTCATTGCTAATCATATGAATGATGAGGATACTGCACTGCAGTATATTATATATTATATATTATATATATATTAATATTATATATTACATACATGTATGTTTGATGATTAGTGACTCAACATATATAACTAGTTATTGAGAAAGAAAACAGTACCATTTTGAAGTCTGTGTACATTTTCATTAATTAATATAACATAATAAATTACTAACTAAAAATTAACATTTGTAGGTGCTTTAGAGTTTACAAACTCTCCTAATTCAACACATTTTAGATAATCTCACTTACTCATCTACCTATTGATAAGTTCCAAGTTATATCCAGCCTAGATCCTTCTCATGAGATGCAGACTCATAATTCCAGTGGTCACGGCTCCCTTTACTAACTCCGTAAGAGCCTCAAAGTAAACGTGCCCAAAAGTGAATTTGTTATTTTCCCCCTACACTGTGTGTCTCTCTCTATTTCCTGTCTTAATGTGCATTAAGTTGCTCTAACAAACACCTGGAGGATCATCCCTAACTCTAGTCTCCCTCATCAGGGAAAATCATCCGGTGATTTTAAAATTACGTTCTATTATCTCTCCACTTTCCCCCACCTCCAATACCTCTCTCCTGGTTCAAGACACAAAGTTCTTTTTTCTGGTCTCCCAGTCTCCCGACCCCAGTTTTGCTCCTTTTTAAACTCATTCCCTATTGTAGCTAGTGTTTTAACAGTTCTAAAACACAAACCTGATTATGGAAATGCATGCTTTTATTTAAACTTTTTTATTGTCTTACCATTGCTTTTAGGATAAAGTCCAAACTGAGTAATACGACCTATAAGATTTACTATGGTGTGACTGCTGCTTACCTCTCCAGCTTCGTCCCTTGTCACATCCCTCTTACCCAATACACTCCAGCACATCTCTCCGTTCATGCTCTCTTACCTTTGCCGCCTTCCCACCTGGGCCACATTTCAATGTCTCCCTCTTTGCCTGACCAATCCTACTAACATCTAGATGTTGTTTTAGCTATTACTTCCTCTGGGAAGCGTTCCTTGACCTACCAAATGTAAGTCAATCCCATTCCTATGTCCTCCAACAGCACTCTGTACATTACATTTTTTAATCTGAAGGATCGCTACACAATAGTGGCCTTTTCCTTAGCTGAATTTTCTTACTGACTATAATACTAGTCTATTTAGGCAAGGACTGGTCTTATCTTGTTCACCACCACCGTAAGACACTGAGCCTGACTGATATGTTGTAGGTACTTAATATATTTTGGGAGGGAATAAATAAATTCCAGAATGGAATGCATGTTCTTGCTTTACAGACTGTCCACTGTCTATCAAACCTCTTCTGCCCACAACCCCCGAACTTGACTTTTTCAAATCTCAGTATTCCCTTTGCTTGAAACCTCCTTCTCTTTTATTCTCTGAGTGATCTTCATTTTTAAGTCTCAATTTAGTGATGCTCCCTTGGGTAAGACAACCCCCCATTTCTCTAGATAGACTAAGATCTTCCTTCTCCTATGCCAACACGTGCATTTTCATCTATATGTCTCTAATATCTATTATATTGCCTAGTACACAGAAGACAATAAATATTTGTTTAATAAACACATAAATGACTAGTAGGTAGCTAATAGTTGTAATGTAATCTGGGGATATGAACAAAGTCTGGGGCGGTCCCAATAATTTTAATGAAATAGCAATTTTGTGGGTTTCAGACTTCAGGGGTATCTGGAAGGACAATCACTGAAGCTAACAAACTTTCCCCCACCTTGTCAGGAAGTATAGTTAATTTTGCTAATACAAACTGTTCTTTTCTAGACAATGTGAGATACATACTCCTTCTGGAAAAACTGGTATTTGTTTCCTTTACCTTCTCCTAGTCCCTCTAAATACCTTAAGACATGTAATATGGCATTTTCTGAGGGGGAAGTAATAGAGAAACTTCAGGAATAAGAGATGGAAAAGGATAAAACTTAAGAGTTGATATACAGTGTTAACAGCACGGGATTGCTCAAGACATAGGTCACTTAAGCTCTCGTTTTAGATTTGTTACTTAGTAGCCATTTAACATTAAGGAAGTAATTTTATCCATCCAGATGTTAATAACATAAGAGGGTTATAGTAAGTTTTAACATCTCTAGCCTGCTCTAACATCCTAAGAATGTTAGAAATCTGTGTCAACAGGTTAGACTTTAATCCCCATAATCTCCTAAATATTATAAAAATAGAAGAGCTAACTTAAAAGATATGGTATTTAAACACAGAAAATTCTTTCAATATTAATTCCCCCTAGAATCTTTTCTCAGAGATGTTAATTTACATACTGTTGAGCAGTTTCCTTTTATTTTCTTCTCTCCTAAAAAAATTAGTGGGTACACTCAATATGAATGGGACTCTCTGCAACATCAGTAACTCTGGGGATGGGATCAGAACGATCAGTATTCAAAATTCCAGCTCTATCGCTATCTAGCTTTGTACCTCTGGAACACATAATCACACCAAGTGTCTGCCTCAGCATCTGTAAATTCGGGAAGACAACTAACTTACAAATTGTTAAGAGGATCGAATAAAATAGTGCATATAAAGTAGAAAGCACGGTGCCCAAAATAAAGCAGAATTCAGTAAGTGGCAGTCATTACTGTTACTATCCTAAGTTTACACTAATGCCTAACCTTCCCTAGCCAAGGCCTTTGCTTACTGTGGTGGCATCTCCTATAAGGTTAGCTTTGAAGGAATCTGCCCCGTGGCCTTTCTTTAGTGACACAATGTTACAAAGATCTTTGGAAACAGCAGAAGAGTCACTGATACAAAGTGGGCTTTTCTATCAGAAATCAAAGGTTAGACAATATAAACCAGTCTAGTACCTTAATATTTCAACAACGTTTAGATGAGATTAACTCTGGAAACTAAGGAGAATAACATAATGCCAGGTTTCAAAAAGTGAGGATGATACAAGCAGCTATACATAATTTATTTATACAATAAATTAAGTATATACTGAGGAATTACTATTTCTATGTCAGGTGCTATGGGAAACATAAACCTTTGTAAATCTCTCTATGCTAAAGGGGTCTCTCGAGTGCAGGGGACGTGAGATATGGCCATATTTCTAATACATGGCAATATGTGACAAGTACTGTAAAACTTGCACAACTAAGGTGCTAATGGATTTGAAAGTGAGAGAAAGCATTTTTAGTCAGGATTAACAGCAAAGATATCATGAAAGATATATATTTAATCTAAGCCTCAAAATGTGGGTATGAATTCAGCAGACAGCATTCAGTGGAAAAGCATTGCATACAAAGGGACTCCCATACAGGAGGCAGGTAGGCAGCAAAGAACAGCTCACATCTGGGGAACAATAACTATCTGCTTCAGCAGAGCATTCAGGCGAAGGTGTTATGAAAGACAGTGGAACCTAGGAGCTACTGTATCTTGTTAGATACTGCAGAACCACTGAAAGCTTTTCAACAAGGAGAGCAATAACATTAAAACAGCATTCTAGGAAGACTGATCTGGAAACGACTCATGAATGGGATGGAACGCTTGAACTACAGTGGCCGTAATGAGGCTGAATAAAAAACAGACACTGCAAAGAAATGATTGAAATGACTTAGTGACTGAATCCAGAAAGAAGGGAGGGAAGTTTTCAATTCTCTTGCCATGCCTCCCACCTAAAGGCTTCTAAACAAGTACCTTGTATCAAAGAAAATAAAGTGTAGATATAGGTTACTGTAACTTGCTTCCTGTGAAGTTTCTCTCAAAGCATACATTTGTATGATTACAAGCTAACTCCAAACAGTAGAGCTATGCCTTTGTTTTCCCAGTAGCAAATAAAAGAATATTATTATACAACACACAGGCTAGACCACTCCCATTAGTTGAGGAAAGGAAAAACCTTCACAAAATCTAGAAGTTTCATTTCACTGACTTTTGATAGTGATAAACTTCCTGGCATTTATGTAGGATATTATCATAAAATTATTTAAGTAAGAGATTCATGGAAAAGGAATTTTTATTTTTAAATGTATTAACAAATCTAAACAATAGCTAGATACTGACTATATGAAACTGGTTTTGAGTATAAAAAGTGAAGTAATATTTTAAAAAATCTCTACATTATTAATCTAAGCTATCTATGAAGAAAAATTGAAGAGTGAGGAGTACAGAGACACCTCTAACATAAGGCATTATGTGATAAATGCTACAAAATTTGTATAAAGTGTTAAAAATAATTCGAAAGCAAAAGAAAACAGTTTTTTTGCCAGATTTCCACAAAATCTTAATATGCCAAAAATAAATAACTTTGAATTGTACTTATTACATTTTATTTGTCTTAGGGTTTTTTTGTGTTCTTTAAAATTATAAATGATTCTAATTCTTGTTCTTCATAATATTTAAATAAACCAGTAACTGTCTATGATGGACAACATTTGTTAGAAATGTCAACTTTGCAAGATAAATACATGTGGCACTAGAACAGTTTATATATTTTTTTTAAAAAATACCAAGATCCATGCATTTAAGTAATAAGTCATTTTTTAGGAAAAAATTCTACCTTTCCTTCATCCATTGGGTTATCACTTATATGGACAACCGGTCCTGGGTGAGATTTAGATGACCTAAAAAAGAAAAGTTAGCAAGACTTTTTTTTCTCAATTAAAAATTTCAATACAACTATATATTCATTATAATGAAACCAATGAATGGACAATAAAGATGTATTTATAAAGGGTGAGAACAATTCAGTAAGTAATCGGTAAGAAATGTATAGTTCTTAATATGGATCAAAATAGGAATCAGAGGAAAATTTGGGTGGGGGATGAGTTAAATAGGTGATGGGGACTAAAGGGCCACTTGTGATGAGCACTGGAAGTGCCCAATCACTATACTGTGTAGATGAAACTAATATTACACTGTGTGTTAAGTAACCGGAATTTAAATAAAAACTAAAAGAAAACATAGCAATCAGAGGAAAAATAGTGACATTGATACAAATCCACAAAATTTACAAGTACACTTTCTGTATAGGAATATTCAATTTAGTATTTTAGCACACAAAAAAACTCTATTCTCATGGTAGAATTCTCAGAATTAATATTTTTAAGTAAGCATCATCTAAAATACTGCTATCTTATTTTACTCAACTCTAGCCTCCAACTGGGGCATCCATAGTTCCATAGTTCACCCACAAAAAAATAGGAAAAATTCTATTATGGTTTTTAACACAACAACAAAACTAATGCCACTGGACATGCTCAGACAAAAAGAAGTCATATAGATAAGAATGGAGCTGAATTTATGCCCATAAGTAGGAATGAGCACCTCCCTATTCATAAATTCCAAGGGTTGAGACACCAGCCCACTTCATGAGACCTTTGTGAAACCATACAGACATCTATCTGCACCAGGCCAACCTAGTGGGTGTTGTGATCAACTCAGAGAACAACCACAAAAACCCACACCTTGGACCAAGGCACTGAGATATGATAACATTACTGCCACAGGAAGAAAAACCAGGCTTAGTACATTATAATAGTTGACCAAGACATTGCTTAAGAGTGATGCCACAAACTTATCCTTATGTCAAATTCTGTGGAATGCAATAATACAGAACTATTTGTTTAAAAACAAACAAAAGATGGGGCACCTGGGTGGCTCAGTAGGTTAAGCATCCGACTTCGGATCATGATCTCACGGTTTGTGAGTTTGAGCCCCGCGCCGGGCTCTGTGCTGACAGCTCAGAGCCTGGAGCCTACTTCGGATTCTGTGTCTCCCTCTCTCTCTGTCCCTCCCCCACTCATGCTCTGTCTCTCTGTCTCTCAAAAATAAACGTTAAAAAATTTTTTTAAAAAAAAGAAACATCGAAAATGAATTTTGTCAATGTCCATACATTTTTATTTTTATGTCTAAACAATATGAGAAAAAAACCTGAGATAAGATATAAAGATAAGAGTTGGGGCGCCTGGGTGGCTCAGTGGTTGAGCATCCAACTTCGGCTCAGGTCATGATCTCACGGTCTGAGTTCGAGCTCCGCGTCAGGCTGTGTGCTGACAGCTCAGAGCCTGGAGCCTGTATCAGATTCTGTGCCTCCCTCTCTCTCTGGCCCTCCCCCGTTCATGCTCTGTCTCTCTCTGTCTCAAAAATAAATAAACGTTAAAAAAAATTAAAAAAGATATAAATATAAGATTCTAAAACAAAGTGCAAAGTTAGTGCTAAAGATCCTTAAGGCCTTACAGCTGAACCCTGTTTTTGTTGCTATTGTTAAATGAAAACAATCATCATTATATCAAAATTAACAAATTGTCAAATTCTGCAATATTATATTGTAAACATTTACATTGTATTTGTCAGTTATTTAAACATATCAAGTACTGGTTTAGATCAATGTTTTCTAAACACTGGTGGCAACCCATTAGTGGGTCATGAAATCAACTTAGTGGGGTATGACTAACATCTGAAAGAAAAATAAACAGAAGATAAAAGTACAGAAAAAAAAAATTGGGAGTGTTTTCCACCTAATAATTGTTTCATTAAACTTGTGCTACAATTGGTACATACATACACAGGTTTATATATACATATGATCACATATCTATCTATCTATATACAGAACATTTAAATGTACAAACTGTTAATAGTAAATATTTAGAAAAGGCTAATAAATCTGTGTTTAATATCAAGAATGTCTGACATATTTAATTCCACACGGATTTACTCATTAGCTATTATATAAAGATATCATACATGGTCCTGATACTTTCAGATATGGAATATTTGCTCAAACTCACAGTTCAATGGCTTTATTCCACATAATGACGTAGCCTGAGAGTGTGAAGGACTCCACATTGACAATATGTATATTACCTCGTTCAGTGCCCACATAGAGCCACTTACTCTGGAAAGGCAGATGGCAAAATGTAACCCTGCAAGAGAAAATATAACCAAAAAGGAAATTAGAAAAACGTCTGTAACTTTTGTTAATTGTATTAGAGGGTTAATCGTGATGTCTAATTTAGGAAAGGCAAAAATGATATGAAACCAGATTTATCTACTCATTGTGGTTAACATTTTTTTTAATTTATTTTTTTAAGTTTATTTATTTATTTAGAGAACATGAGTGGGGGAGGGGCAGAGAGGAAAAGATAGAATCCCAAGCAGGCTCTGTGTTGTCAGTGGACAGCCTGACACAGGACTCGATCTGAGATCACGACCTGAGCTGAAATCAAGAGTCAGATGCTTAACTGACTGAGCCACTCAGGTGTCCCTGTGATTAATATTCGACATACAAATTCAACTTATATGTCAAACAGAAGGCCTTATAGTAAATAGACATGATGGCTTGACAGAAAGAAGATGGGTTTTAAACTTACCATGTGTTTCAAATCTGGCTATGTCATCCACTGTGTTACTTTAGGCGCATCACATATTTAACCATTAAACCACAAACCATTAATACCCACATGACCCTAGGTATTATTACATTCCTCAGGAGTTATTAAACACACTCATCTATCTCAGTACCTGTGCTTACCATTCCTTCCAGGCAAAAGGCTCTTCCCGTTCATATTTTTCTTCTATTCAAGATTCAGTTCAAACACACCTTTATTCAAATTGATAGCCCAATAATTTTTATCTCTATCAGGCTTGCCTTGTTAAGACAGTTAAGGTCTACCTTCTTCAGTAACTTGTAAGCCTCAGGGAGTGCAGAGATCCTCTATACTCACACTTAGACAATGCTCTTCTCCTATGTCATAATGATATGACAGGACTTCATTAACAAATTATAATTTACATGCACGTATTAAGGTTTATTATCATTCCAGTAATTTCAAACACTTTCTATTCTTAGATCATTTGACTTCAAGATAAAGAATGGAAACTATCTTGTCCTTTTTGTAGCACTTATTTTTAGCCTCCAAAAATTAGTATGTTATGAAATCATATAATGCTCATTTTTTTAGACTACCTATTTATTGTGCCTCTCAAAATATATTCAAATTTTCAATAGAACAGCACTTCAAATAACATACAGTAATAATTAGTACTAGACCATCAATACTGGTACTGGGTTTTAAGCAAGATATAGCATACACAACATTGTTATTCCCATGAACACAATTTCATTACAGAAAATTTTCAAGATGAAAATACTTATCAAATAAATGTACATGCAACTCATGGCCTACCTCCTAGAGGGAATGTTCATTTAAATAATTATTTAAGGTTCATCATCTGTATTTCTTGTTGAGGGTTTTATATAATAACATGTCATATTTCTAAGGGATTTTCTATATTAAACAAAGCACAAAAATGTCTGTTGCATCAAAAAAACGTTTTATAGTCCCATATGACTTCACAAAATACTAAGCAGTCCACAGTACCTTTCTGAAAACTCCAGGGCCATATAGGTTTCAGAATTCTGAATTTTCTGGATTTCAAAAAAATATATAATGCAAATTTTGTAGATCACCTAAAATGGCAGTATCTCACAAACGCATTAAATATTTTTAAGGTATGATTTTTGGCAGTTTTTTTAACTGAGATATAATTCACATGTAATATTATATTAGTTTCAAATATATACAATGAGTCGATATGTGTGTATATTGCAAGATGATCACAGCAAGTCTAGCTGAAATATTCATCACCACACATATAGTTAGAAATATTTTTCTTAGTTTAGAACTTTTAAGATCTCCTACTCTCCAAGCAAGCTTCAAATATATAAAAAGTATTATTAACTATAGTCACTGGCAGTTTCTTAAAAAGTTAAACATATACCTACTGTATTTAGGTATTTACCCAAGAGAAAGGAAAACATAATCTATACAAAACGTGTACACATGTTACAAAACAGCTTTGTAACAGCCAAAAACTGGAAACAATCCAAATGTCCATCAACAGGTAAGTGGTATATATTCATAACAGAATACTATTCAGTAGTAAAAAGGAATAAACTACTCATACATGCAACAGCATTGATGAATATCAAAATCCTTATCATGAGGGAAAGAAACCAGATAAAAAGACATATTGTACGATTCCATTTATATACAACTTATATGCAATACGAAAGGCAAACTAAACTATTGTAATGGAAAGCAGATTAGTGGTTACCTGCAGACTGCAGGAGCGGAGGCTAGAAATAGAAGAGGGGAGGGATGAGGACAAGGAAATATTTTGGGGTGACGTGTATGTTTGTTATCTTGATTATGGTGACAGTTTCATCCGCATATGTATGTGTCAATTTATCAAACTGTACACTTTATGTGGAGCATATTATATGTTTATTATACCCTAAATAAAACGGTTTTAAAATTTTGTGTTTTCAGAGATTTATGGATTTAGCGATTATGCATATAGATTGTGATTCTGATAATACATAGGCACAAGCTCTGGAATTAGACTGCTTGTATTTAATTTCCAGCTCTGTTACTTATCAAGCATGAGACTTCTGGTAAACCACTTAATCTCTCAGAACCTCAGTTTCTAAGCAGTAAAGGACATCTACCGGACAGTGTTCCCCTGAGTCTCCAATAAGACAAAGCATGGTATATGCTTAAAATGGGGCCTGAAGCAGAGAAGTGTTCAATAAATGTTAGCTAATTATCACGTGATAGTCTACCAACTAGAAGTTATAGGCAAATTTTAACTACTTAAGCTACGTAAAAGTACCAACAGCAAGCCAAATATAAAATGAACGATGCAATAAACATCATAAAAACAACCACTTCATTTGAAATGTGTTATAAACTAAAACATGAATAGAGCTAAATGTTTTGAAAATTCAACAATTTCAAAATAACTAAGCCAAAATAATGATTGGCTCACAAAAAAAAAAATCAGAAATATCTAACTTCCTGTCTTTTCCACTATTATGCAATTCTCCTTTATTCTTCACTCTAGAAAAGCAGTAACTAATGACATTGCTAATACAATGACATGACCCATCTTTGATTTTAATACTAACAAAATTGTTTAAATAATATGCTTAAGAAATTTAAACTTATCTTAAGGCCAGAGATTTGTGATGTATTCATACAATATTTTCTGTTCCCAGTGCAACAGCATACTGTTTCTTAAGTATTTAAAGAAGTAAGTATAAATTTAAAGAATAAGAATAAATAATTAAGAGTAAATAAAAAAGAATAAATAAGCCACCTGGGTGGCTCAGTTGGTTAAGCATACGACTTCGGCTCAGATCATGATCTCACAGTTCATGGGTTCCAGCTCCACACTGGGCTCTGTGCTGACAGCTCAGAGCCTGGAGCCTGCTTTGGATTCGCTCTCTCGCGCGCTCTCTCTCTCTCTCTCTCTCTCTCTCTCTCTCTGCCCCTCCCCTGCTTATGCTCTGTCTGTCTCGCTCTCTCAAAAATAATTGTTAAAAAAATTTTTTAAAAAAGGAATAAATTCTTCAATGTTCAGCAAAAAATCTAGAACTTTTCCCTAGATTCACCTTTTCAGTATTAGCTACCATCATAAGTTTTTTCTCAATTATAAAACCAACTGACACTGCTGAAAAATTTTAAGCATCTTTGTTTTCAGAAGTGAAAACTACTACTTAACATTTTAAGAAGGGACTTAATTAAAATGTTCACTTAATGATCTGGCACCAAGGCTTTAATATGGTCCCTAGAATGAGTCTTATATAGAAATAATGGGAGTGTATTTGTACAATGTACCAAATTTAAAAATTACTCTGTACCATAACTACCCTCGTTATTTGACTCATTTGAGAAGGAAGAAAGTCAAGTCGTTTTTATCACAATTAAACTGACAGTTTCTTAATTAGCAAATTTTAACGGCTCTGAATATGTGGGAATAGGAACAGTGAGAAAACTAAAATTCCATGCAACCAAACAAAATACCATGCCACTGATTTAGGGAAAGGCCAACTGGAGCACTTAAAACTATATATACATATTATGTGTGTGTATATATGTACATGTGTGTATGTGTGTATATACATATAGAGAGAGAAGAGAGAGATTTGTTGTTAATCTTTCTAAGAAAGTGGTCCATGATAGAAATCTACTATTTTTCAGTAAAGTAGTCATGAAACAAATGGCACTGAATAGCTTTCAGACAAACAGATTTCAAATTTAAAGAGTCCAGATCAACAGACACAAAGAAACACTGAAAACAGGAAAGTTTCATCAATGAACTAAGTATCACTACATTACTATAGTAATGTCCCTCAAGAGATCTTCTCTCTCCCCCTGTATCCCGCCCTTTGTATGGTCTGTCCCAACACTGACTCTAGGATCTTGTGACTTCCATTGGCCACTGAGACACGGGCAGCTGTGCCACAAGCAGGAATTTGAAAAAGCACTTGCACATTCGGCCTTGACCTGTTTCTTGTGCTTTTAGAACCCAGGTGCCGTATGATGAAGCCCAGTGTAACCTGTTGGGAGAATCTGGCCCAGCCCACAGCCAGCACCAACCACCAGACATGTAAGGCAAGCTAGATCACCCAACCCAGTAGAGCAGCCAGATAACTGTGGTTGCATAAGTGACTACAGGGAAAGACTGCTTCTGCTAAGCTTGACCCAAGTGCTGACCCACAAAATTATGAGCAAACAAAATGGCTGTTATTTTAGCTTCTCAAGTTTTGCGATGTTTTGATATGCAGCAATAGATAAGTGACCTGTTATTTAGTACAATCCACTCAAATAAAATCTTTTTACTTGAAAAGCTATAAAAACATAGAGGAAAACAAATTCTATTTCTAGAATTAAATTAAAAAGACCCCAGGAAAATTTTAAGAATGCCAACAGTGCATTTATCATGAAGCTCAAACATTACCTTTGACTGAAATTAAATTCCTAACTATTGTTGTTCATACGCTTTTATTATAAAGATTTTTAAAAAATTTTTTTAAATGTTTAACTTTTATTCTGTTTTGAAAGACAGAGAGAGACAG